GGTGTCAGTGGGAGGAATAGTGCCCCATCGTTGGTGTCAGTGGGAGGAATAGTGCCCCATCGTTGGTGTCAGTGGGAGGAATAGTGCCCCATCGTTGGTGTCAGTGGGAGGAATAGTGCCCCATCGTTGGTGTCAGTGGGAGGAATAGTGCCCCATCGTTGGTGTCAGTGGGAGGAATAGTGCCCCATCGTTGGTGTCAGTGGGAGGAATAGTGCCCCATCGTTGGTGTCAGTGGGAGGAATAGTGCCCCATCGTTGGTGTCAGTGGGAGGAATAGTGCCCCATCGTTGGTGTCAGTGGGAGGAATAGTGCCCCATCGTTGGTGTCAGTGGGAGGAATAGTGCCCCATCGTTGGTGTCAGTGGGAGGAATAGTGCCCCATCGTTGGTGTCAGTGGGAGGAATAGTGCCCCATCGTTGGTGTCAGTGGGAGGAATAGTGCCCCATCGTTGGTGTCAGTGGGAGGAATAGTGCCCCATCGTTGGTGTCAGTGGGAGGAATAGTGCCCCATCGTTGGTGTCAGTGGGAGGAATAGTGCCCCATCGTTGGTGTCAGTGGGAGGAATAGTGCCCCATCGTTGGTGTCAGTGGGAGGAATAGTGCCCCATCGTTGGTGTCAGTGGGAGGAATAGTGCCCCATCGTTGGTGTCAGTGGGAGGAATAGTGCCCCATCGTTGGTGTCAGTGGGAGGAATAATGCCCCATCGTTGGTGTCAGTGGGAGGAATAATGCCCCATCATTAGTATCAGTGGGAAGAATAGTGCCCCATCATTGGTGTCAGTGGGAGGAATAGTGCCCCATCATTGGTGTCAGTGGGAGGAATAGTGCCCCATCATTGGTGTCACTGGGAGGAATAGTGCCCCATCCTTGGTATCAGTGGGAGGAATAGTGCCCCATCATTGGTGTCAGTGGGAGGAATAGTGCCCCATCATTGGTGTCAGTGGGAGGAATAGTGCCCCATCATTGGTATCACTGGGAGGAATAGTGCCCCATCATTGGTGTCACTGGGAGGAATAGTGCCCCATCGTTGGTGTCAGTGGGAGGAATAGTGCCCCATCGTTGGTGTCAGTGGGAGGAATAGTGCCCCATCGTTGGTGTCAGTGGGAGGAATAGTGCCCCATCGTTGGTGTCAGTGGGAGGAATAATGCCCCATCATTAGTATCAGTGACACCAATGATGCGGCACTATTCCTCCCACTCACACCAATGACACTTGCTGACCCCTGTTGCAGTATGGTGCTGCTGCAGCCAGCATATGTGGTTGCAGCAGCACCTCTGCACTGCACACTTACCGGCTTTTCCCTCACTTGATTTTCGCGGGTCCGCTCGGCTCCGCCTCCTTGTCCGTGATTGGCCGCCTGTGTACCTTTCCTGAGCTACAGTTCTGGCGGCCAATCACCGCTGAGGAGACGGAGCCGAGCGGCAGGAGTGAGGGAGTGGCCGGAGTGACGGAAGGAGCAGCGCTTCCTGGATGGATCATCGTGGGAGCCAGGTGACAGCAGCCCTCTGCCCACCCCTGTACGCGCCCCCCTTGACGGAGCCTCGTCTGCATACGTTGACTCGAGTATAAGCTGAGGGGGCCATTTTTCAGCACAAAAAATGTGCTGAAAAACTCGGCTTATACTCGAGTATATACGGTAATTACATTATGTTTTGGGTTGCCTTTAAAGTCCCAGTTCAAATTGTTGGGGAACACACCTTTGGGTATAATTGCAGAGGAACATCAGCTCACACTGCAGTTACAGTAACAGTTTTCTTTTTCTTTTATGGCACAAAGGTTTTTCATGAATGTGTAAAAGCTCAATATTGTAAGCACCCCTGTGGTAAATGAAGTGCACGTCCATCGTCCATCCGCCCCTCCACCCCCACGCATTTCCTTGCCTGCTAGCTGCATTCCTGGAAAGGGTCTGTTAGGTATGGCTTTTGGTTGAGGTCCTGCACCATTTTTTTGTTTTTTTGGCAAGAGGTTCCCCTGTAAAATCCATACCAGACTCAGAGGGCCCACAGGTTTTTTTTTATGTTTTTTTTTTTTTTCTTTTTTATGCTGGCTCTTTTGTTTACATTCTACTGTGAGTGGGGAATCCCCTGCAGCAGGGATGACACGATTGTTAGGATGGTTTCGGCTCCTTAACAACCAAAGACTCATCTCTGTGCTAGTGCCAGCTCCTAACAACCAACACAAATCACAGGCAAAAATGCACCAAAAAAATGCATGTACATGTGTTCTTGGTGCTGCTCCATTGAAGACAATGGGACACAATTCACACTGCATTGCAAAAGACAGAGACAGTAATGATATACAGTGGAGCTCCGCTGTCAGTCACAATCTTTGAGGATCCCCATGTGATGTGGGGCAGAGTTTTGTGCAGGAAAGAGGAAGTACTCAGCTTTCATACAGGAACCCAGAGCATGGACAGACCAACTCGCAACATAGGAAACTGTAACACACTCACAAAAGCGTTGTCTTGTGACTTCAATCAATGTCAGGCCGAGCACTGGTTAAAGCTTGTAGGAGGAGTTTTCATTCTCCTCTGCCTGTCCTATAAAGCTGCATGACCCCTAACCCTCTCTCTGGATACTGCTGATTGGCCCTGTGCTAATCACATGCACCCTCCCCAAAAAAAAAAAAAAACACCAAACACTCTCTAGCAATACACACCAAAGTAAGCATATGCAGAGTGCCTCCTAGGCCTTCAGCAGATGGATTGGGGACTGTGGAAGAAGGGGAGGATCAGAGGAGACAGGATCAAACACTCTTTTTACACAATGTGGAGGATTAAGCCCTTAGGTTCCACAGTGAGTATAACAAGCATGCTTTACTGCATATACAGTCTGATCAGTCGGGTCAGCAGGGACTGGCCTAATTTCAATTCATGTGTGGCCACTAATGATCGATTTCTGTCGAACAGGCTTGTTGGAGAATGCTTTGCAATCACTGGTTGTAGCTGCACCTCTTCTCAGACAAGAAAAAGGGCTAAGTATACAGTATCTCACAGAAGTGAGTACACCCCTTATATTTTTGTAAATATTTTATTCTATCTTTTCATGTGACAACACTGAAGAAATGACACTTTGCTACAATGTAAAGTAGTGAGTGTACAGCTTGTATAACAATGTAAATTTGCTGTCCCCTCAAAATAACTCAACACACAGCCATTAATATCTAAACCGGTGGCAACAAAAGTGAGTACACCCCTAAGTGAAACTGTCGAAATTGGGCCCAAGTAGCCATTTTCTCTCCCCGATGTCATGTGACTCATTAGTGTTACAAGGTCGCAGGTGTGAATGGGGAACAGGTGTGTTATATTTGGTGTTATTGCTCTCACTTTCTCATACTGGTCACTGGAAGTTCAACATGGCACCTCATGGCAAAGAACTCTCTGAGGATCTGAAAAAAAAGAATTGTTGCTCTACATAAAGATGGCCTAGGCTATAAGAAGATTGCCAATACACTAAAACTGAGCTGCAGCACGGTGGCCAAAAGCATACAGCAGTTTAACAGGACAGGTTCCACTCAGAACAGGCCTGGCCATGGTCGACCAAAGAAGTTGAGTGCACGTGCTCAGCGTCAGGGTGCTGAGCGGTCGCACAGTTGCATGCAATTAAGAAAAACACATGTGCTGAGAGTGTGCGCCCTGTGCACTCCCAGCACAAATGTCCAGTACTCACGGAAAGGTCCCAATCTCCGCTTTCGATCGTGACCTTTCCCAATCATGTGACTGCTGTGACGGCGAATCACGGCGGTCACATGACCTTAAAACCCCACCCCCGCCTCACGAAACCTATAAAGAGCCAGAAGGCGCCGGCGCCAAGGGGTTAATAAGGTCATGACTCTTTCTTATCACCTGTTGCATCTCATTGTTCACAATCTCCTACAGTCTTTCTTTGTAGACACTTCCCGTTTGTATGCTGTTCGTGTGTTCCAGTGATACCTGTATGGTATTTCTTATAACAGTTTTCCTGATGGTGACAACTGTGAATCATACCTGCATAATGTATGTTGAAAGGACCACTTGTAGTCTATTGTAAATCCGTGGGACAGGGTGACAATGGTAAAAGCATAACTGGAAGACCGAGAATTGTCACCCCCTATACCAGAAGCATCTACACAAGGGCCTACATGGCAAAAATACAATTCAGATTTAACCACTTGCCAACCGTACTATAGCTGAATGACAGCTACAGCACAGTTGTCCATTTCTGGGAGGGCGTCATATGATGTCCTCCCAGAATGCGCCCTCCCGCGTTCTCCGTGATCGCTGTGTCCTACAGACTCAGCTGATCAAGTGATGTGGTAACAGGCCAATCACAGCGGCCTTTTACCATGTGATAAGCTGTGTCCAATGACACAGCAGATCATCGGTAAATGCAGTTGCCAGTTATCGACTGCACTTTCCTCACGCTGTCACAGCATGAGGAAAGTACTGCAGACAACCAGCAATTGTCAGAGGACGGATCGGCACCGATCATCAGGGCACTGCTGATCAGTGCCCAGAAGTGCCAACCCACCAGTGCCCCCATCAGTGCTGCCCAGCAGTGTCGCTAGTCAGTGCCACCCATCAGTGCATATCAGTGCCAGCTCATCAGTGCCGCCTATCAGTGCCGTTTATCTGTGCCAAAATGATAAAAATTTCATATGAGTAAATGTTGCATGACCGTGCAATTGTCAAAGTGCGACAGTGCTGAAAGCTGAAAATTGGCCTAGGCATGAAGGGGGTATACGTGCCCCGTAGGCAAGTGGTTAAAAATACTGAATATGAATTTTGAAATTATATTAAGATGGTACAGCTTACATGACATGTTAGCTATTGAGTTTACTGCTACTTTAAGTAGATTTCTATCACCATAAGAAAAGGTCAGAAAAATGGCATACTCTGGAAAGAATTAAAGAAAATAGGACATACTTTATATGTTTCATTAACCAAAAATAAAACATTACTTTTGAAGCATGATATTATAATAAATTATTCATTTCAATCTAAAATGTAAACATATATTGTACCCACCTAATCCTCCAGGTCCTGCCAACAGAAACTCCTGTCTGCTGATTCTCTTAATAATTGGTTTCTTCTGTTCGCTGGGATAAGGAAAGAGATCCTGGCAGTGCCCTGTATTATAATTTAGAATGACATATCGACTGCTGAGTGCCAGGCACAGATAATATCCATCAGCAGCAAGAGAACATGGCTGTTCAGGTGTAGCCACTTCTCGAACTATCTGTACCCGTTCCTGTCCCACACTGAAGATCTGCACTGTTCGTTTCTTGGAGGAGATCAAGCAGACCTCTACACTGAATGGGTCTCCGCTTACTGGATTCTCATTCAGGGTGAAGCTAAGAACACCCCTGATCTTAGTCCCTGGTACTGGCTCAAGAGAGTCACTGCACAGCAAAAAAATTGTATTATCACACAGAACAAGTAACCGGTCAAGGGCAGAGGCGGCTCTCATTTCACATATAGGCTTCTTCACACCTAGCTGTCTCTGGTTTTGTCGGCTGGTAGTAAAACTAGTGTTAGGATAATCTGACTGCTGACCCAGTGAAAGTCCAGCTGACTCCGTGCCATTTTCTTCCACCAGCAGAAGATGGTGAATGCAGCTATCACTGCTGCCAATGTACAGATCATGTCCAGAGCACTCCAAGCACTCAATCTGTATTCCAGCAGGGAGGTGCTCCTTTCCAGATGCACACACAGAACCAATCTGAAGGCCTGCACACTCATGGCCAAGGAGAGGGGAGCCCCAGGGCGTCCTGTAAAGTTAAAAGGAAATGCAGTCAGAAACATTTAAAAAATATATATTTTTTCATAGCCACAAAATGTCATCTTCTTCACTGGCTGGGCAAAAGCAGTGTTTGTGGAATCCTTGCAAAGCAGAGACAAGAAAGAATAAAGAAGACCAAGGTAATATTTTAACATTTCAAAATACGTCTCTCAACTAAGAAGTCATGTTTTCACCAGGACAGGACAAAATTAAAAATCTCTAGCAGGGAGACAATAGGAACAAGAATACTTAGTAGGGTGTTTTTTTTTTCCTTTCTGTATACCTAAGGAGATGTTCTCTCACTTCCTGCCTCAGTAACAACATTGTAGCCAGGATAGAAAGTCTCCTAATCAGGACACAGATGGTAAAAACTGACACAGGTTTTAACCATTCACCACTATATCCATAACTAAATAAAAGAGTTAGTGCTTCAGATATACAATTAGGTCTATTTATATTTGTACACCGGCACAATTTTCATACTTTTGGCTCTGTATGCCACTATAATAAATTAAAAGAAACAATCCAAATGAATCTGAAGTGCAGACTTTCAGCTTTAATTGAAGGGATTAAACATAAATATCAAGTACAAATTTTAGGTACTGCAACCATTTTTATAGACAGTCCCTCCATTTTCAGGGGCTCAAATGTAATTGGACAAATGAATATAATCATAAAAAAAAATGTTCATTGGTAATATTTTGTTGAGAATCCTTTACTGGCAATGACTGCCTGAAGTCTGGAACCCATGGACATTACCAAAGACTGGGTTTCCTCCTTTTTGATGCTTTGCCAGGCTCTATCTGCAGCTGTCTTCAGTTGTTCTTTGTTTGTGGGTCTTTCTGCCTTTAGTTTTGCCTTCAGCAAGTGAAATGCATGCTCAATTGGGTTGAGTTTAGGTGATTGACTCAGCCATTGCAGAATAATCTACTTCTTTTCCTTCATAAACTCCTGGGTTGCTTTTGCAGTGTGTTTTTGATCAATGTCCATCTGTACTGTGAAGTGCCGCCCAATCAACTTTGCTGCATTTGGCTGAATCTGGGCTGACAGTATATCTGTAAACACTGCAGAATTCATCCAGGTGCTTCTGTCATATCATCAATAAACACCAATGACCCAGTGCCAATGGAAGCCATGCATGCCCATGCCATCACACTGCCTCCACCATGTTTTACAGATGACGTTGTGTGCTTTGGATCTGGAGCTGTTCCAAGCCTTCTCCACACTTTTTTCTTCCCAACATTCTGGTACAGATTAATCTTAGTTTTATCCATCCAAAGAATGCTTTTCCAGAACCGGTCTGGCTTTTTTAGATGTTTTTTGGCAAATTCTAATCTGGCTTTTCTATTCTTCAGGCTTATGAATGGTTTGCACCGTGTGGTGAACCCTCTGTATTTGCTCTCGTGAAGTCTTCTCTTGACTGTAGACTTTGACAATGATACGCCCACCTGCTAGAGAGTGTCCTTCACTTGTCTGGATGTTGTGAATGGATTTTCCTTCACCATAGAGATTATCCTGCTATCATCCACCACTGTTGTCTTCTGTGGACATCCATGCATTTTTATGTTGCTGAGCTCACCAATGCATTCTGATTTCTCCAGATTGTACCAAACTGTTGCTTCTATCTCTCTGATGGATTTTTTTCATTTTTGAAGCCTCACAATGGCCTGTTTAACTTGCATGGACAGCTCCTTTGAATGCATGATGTAGGTTCACAGCAATAGATTCTAAATGCAAATACCACACTTAGAATCAACTCCAGACCTTCTATGTGCTTAACTGATGAAGAAATAACGAAGTAGCCCACAGATGGCCATGAAACAGCTTTTGATTCAATTGTCCAATTACTTTTGGTCCCTTGAAAAAGGGGGGATGGCTGCTCTTAAGAGCTGTAATTCTTAAACCCTTCCTCCAGTTTGGATGTACATACCCTCAAATTAAATCTGAGGGTGTGCACTTTCAGCCCATATCCATTATATAACTATAGCTTTAATATGTTTTAGTAAACACCTGAAAATCTAAAATTGTGACTGTGTCCAAATATATATGGACCTAACCAGGGGCGGACAAACCATTTGGAAACTCGGGCACTGCCCAAGGGCCCGGGGTCACCAGGGGGCCCCATGAGATGCCCCTGGTACCTTTTTCATAGGCTTTTTTGAGTTTGAGCAAGGACACAGGGGCCCCATGATCCCCTATTGCCCGGGGGCCACATGAGTTGTCAGTCCGCCCCTGGACCTAACTGTAATTCTAGACCCCTTTCAAGTTCCGTTTGTCCATATTTCATCCATCTGTTGATGGATGAAAAAACGGACATCAATGCATCTCTAAGGAAAAAAAGGCTGTAAACGGATGATCATCTATTTACATTCGCATCCATGAACATCTGTTTTTTGGAATAGATTAAAAAAACAAAAAAGGACGAAAAATGGATGTAAATAGACAAACAATCCATTTTTGCATTGGTAGTACATGCAAAAAACTGTAAAATGGATCAGTTTTTTTCTTTGAAAAACGTGACATAACTGATGGAAAAAAAAAAATGGGATGCCTGTGTGAAAGGACCAATAGTGGAAATTAAGGAATTTAACAAAAGACTGCAAGCAGGCAGGCTATTACTGAGAAAGACAAGCAATGCCTCCACTGCTATAAAATATTCCTACCTTTCTGCTCGCATTCTTCTGCAGCATTTATGCTCCATTCACACCTATGCAGTTTGCTTTTTGTCCATTTTATAGTGCTTTTCTACACGAGTTTGACACGTTTTTACCGCGTTTGGCATTTTGTTCACCTCCTTTTTTTCTCTTTTTAAAGCGGAATTTTTTTTTTTTTGCTGGGCAGACTAAAAATGCAAAATGCTGTAAAATTGCAACAAAAACGCACTCCCATGCATTTCAGCAGGTTATCCATTGAACTCTATTTCTCAGTTTCCAGGCAGAAGGAACAGTAAAAATGCAGGCAGGGCACAGGACAAAGCACTCGGGACAAAATGTATGTGAAATGGTTTGATACAGTAATGTTTTACTATGTGATTTTAGTGTATTTAGTGAATGTCACTTTTTCACATTTTTAAATTTCCTGCCGTTCCATCCCCGTACGTCCCGACATCGCAGGGAATGGAACCCAGAAGACGGATGCTGACATCGGCCGGAGGACATTACAGGGGACACTGCAGGAGGGACATCGCAGGAGCGCAGGACAAGGTAAGTGAAGAAGAGATCCTGGAGCAGCGCTGCAGAGTATTCCCGAGTGTAGCTCGGGGTTACCGCTTGTGGTACTAAACTTTACCCCGAGCTACACTCGGGAATACCTTCAGGGAGGTTAATTTGAATAGGCTGCCATAACCTCAGGACAGGCAAGAAATAAGTCCCTGCACTATTTTTTAAATTGCAGCCAGCACAGGAACCAAGGTTCCCAGTAAGTTTGCGATTTCCAGTGTTGGCGGCGTGCCATTAGGATTAATGGCACCCACCCAAGGGTCCAACATTTCTCTGTGAAAGTGGTTGCACCTGCCAGTGTTTGTGCAGGTCCTGCAGCGGCACCACCCCACACAGATGTTAACTGAGCCTAAGAGAAACATGGAAAACAGAATATTTGCCATCCCTGTAACTTATGGAATTAAATCGTTTCACATTTCACCTTTCAACATTATGTCAGGAAAATCAGAGCCAGATTATGCACAAGGCAGTATGGGCAGGAGCCTAGAAACCAATGGGCGCCCAGGGAGTCCAGCTACAACAACATTTATGCTCCAGCAGGGGGATATCCCAATTGGTTAAAGCTGTACATCTGCCTGCCAATTCACAAGGGAGGAAATACTTGTAGGTGATTATGTCTCATAAGAAATACTGTGGGATATCAGAAATGCACAGCTTTGCTGTGCCTACTACAATCCTTATCAATGCACTTGAAGGGATGGGGGCCAACTCTATCACCTTGCCAAGGGCCACAATTGTTTCTAATCGCTGCAGTAAACCTACTTTAGATAGCATAGCATGTGATAACAGTAGGAAACAGTCCTTGTGTACATAGCTGACATGGGCCAACGGTTACTGCACTGCTTATGGATTTAACATAATGGAAAAACAAACTCATTCCTTAAAGCACTGCCCACACCTAAAATGGAATTAATACGGAATCTAGAAAGCTGAGGATATATTGTGAAGCAAGATCCTTTTTTTCTTTTAATTGATACCCTATTATCAGTTTTTGTGAAGTACGTGTACGTTAAAAGTTGCACTGGATATTAATTTTTTTTTTTTACAATAAATAAAACATTTTACAATAAATAAAACAGCCAGCAAATTTATGTATGGAACCTCTTGCACTCTTTGAAACTAGAGCCTGTAACTGTGTAGCAAATCTGCCAGGCTTGACCTTTAAAGTGTAAATGTATCAAGCCTGGCAGATTTGTAACACAGTTACAGGCATTCATTTTAGTGAGTTAAAGTGGTGCCACTGTCCTCTACTAATAAATGAACCAGAGCCACATACTGCTACCTATGTATCAAAGACCGATTCTAAACAGGCATAATATTGCAAAGCCAATTTTTTTTTAATTCTGAGTTACTACTCAACAGTTAAATGAGCAAACTGAACCCGGATGTGCAGCTTAAAGTACACTAAAAAAAGGGATTCCAGCTTGCAAATCAGCCAGTTAGTACACTAGAGTATGGAGATTAGAGTGTTACTAAACCCAGGACCCTGGGTATCTGCTCTCCCATTGTACACAGAACATGGAAATGCAAATATTTTAGTAAATATAAACTGCTAAATACCTTTTCTTACCAGCAGTTAGTTTTGTGACTTCTATCAGTGTCCAGCAGTGCACTGGTTAAAGCTTGTAGGAAGAGTTTTCATTCTCCCCTGAGTGTCCTAGAAGGCTGCATGACCCCTGACCCTCTGATTGGACATTGCTGATTGGTCGTGTGCTGATCAGATGCACTGTCCCAAGGAAAAAAAAAACCTGTCTAGCAATACACACCAAACTTAGCATATGCAGCTTGCCCTCAAGGCTCTGTTCTATCAGCAGATGGAGTGGGGACTGTGGAAGAAGGGGAGGATCAGAGAAGACAGGATCAAACAGCCTTTTTACATAATGCAGAGGATTAACCCCTTAGGTTCCACAGTGAGTATAACAAGCATGCTTGACTGCATATACAGACTGATTTTACTGTTGTGGGTTTAGTAACACTTAAAGATACTATGCAGCATAGGGGAGTTTAACAGCCATCACCTATCCAGTTTTGACAGATGTGTTTTAGACTGAAGTAAGCAAATCACATCAAAATTTCCATTGACACTTATTAATCTTTACTGACATTCATTCTGATGTGTTTATATTGATTTCGAAAAAAAAAAACAATATACCTGCCAAAAATGGACAAATGTGAATGGGCCCTAAAACCTATTAAAGGATAGCAGCTACAGCTATTAAAGCGGAACTAAAACTATCCCACTGTTAAAATGATACTTTCATAAACTTACTTTCAAGGCATGCTGTGAATGGTAATGGTCACAGTTGCGTGTGCTCTCAAATTAACTGTCCAGCCATCAAATGACTAGTTTCATAACTGATCATATGCGCTGAACCAAGGCAATGGCAGCATCCGTAGCTGTAAAGGATAGGAGGGTTTAGTTGAGCTTTAAGTGAAAGCACCTAGGGGTGAGTGCACATACCTGCAGTAGCTTTCATTGCCCAAATGCCAGTCAGTCGTGGATAAATAACCTCAGACACTTCCAGGTAGTGTCACAGCTTGTCCACTAAACCCACACACCTACATTTCTATAGACCCAATAATTCAGATCCTAGGGCAAATTTGATGATGAACTCCAGAAGTTCATCATCAAATTTGCCCTAGGATCTGAATTATTGTGAAATCACCTGCAAGAGTGTTTTTTAGACTTTATTTGGATTTTGGGTTGTATTGATATTATTGTTGTGTTTATTCATTTAAATCAAGTTTGCTGTATTATTTTATATCTATTTTTATGTACTTCAGGGGAAGGATTGCTAAGGGACTTGATTGGGTTTTTGGTTCGGGGTTTGGTGGGTGTGTGCTGTCCTTTTGTTATATTTCTATAGACCCATCACTACAGTGGGCTGCCTCAATGGCCAACAGGAATGTGGACAGGAAAGCTCCAAAATACTTGAACTTTGCCCATTCATAATGGTATCATTCAGCCACAGCAGAGAACAATGTAAACTGCTGCTGCAGGTATGCACAGTCTTCTTTTATTATTAGGCAACAGAGTTCCTTTAAAAGGGAATAAGAGATGTGCATGCAAGGCTAGCTCTGTGCAGAATTCTGGAGGGTACGGGAGAAAGGGTATACAGCACTGGGCAGACTGGACAGCAAACATCTTGTAGGAGTGGGGTCAGGGGAAAGTATAATCTATGACCAAACCACTGGGATACTTTGTTACATTAGGATTACAGTGTGAGATACAGTCAGGGGCCTGTGGTGGGTGTGTTTGGGAATCCTTTCTCCTGGATCACAAGCAGGGGTTCCCAGATCACTGCTGAAACTGAGTGGGGTGGTCTGGTGCACTACAACCATTGCTGTATGCATTGCAAGGTTTAACTTTACACTCAAACATCTCATGTGTTAGATGAATGCATCTTTGTACAGGCAGTTACTGTCTGCTCTGCCCCCCCCCCTCTCCCCTCCAGCACTCACTGGAGTGCCTGGCTGTGGAAGGGAGCGGCTAGCTAAGGCTCTCAGCGGACCGCTGAGAGGCTGAGTCAAGCACTGCTCCAGACTTTGGGGTGTATACCCCAAATTTACAGTCAGGATCTTTAACCAACCTGGGCCGGCTGAGCAACTTCAGCCTGCTGTCAGGCAAAAATGGGTCACAGGAATGCAGAACGAACTGCACTCATGTGATCCACAAGAGACGTACAGGCAAAAGAGCTTTGGCTGCCTGCATTGGTAGCGTGGTTCCAAAGCAGGCTGCAATTTCTGGAGAGGTGCAGGGAAATTTTAACTGCATTTCACAAGGCACGGCAGCCCATTCAAATGAACACTGAGCCTGTAAAACGGCCGTAGTGTGAACTGGGCCTAAATCAAAAAGGACCTTCTAATTGTTCTCAGCCTCCTCCAGATTCCTTTTTTTTTTTCACTGCTTTGATCGGACTCCCTGTAGAGGGTGGCGACTACCTTCATTTTCCACGCTGCTGCTGTATGTAGGCACTCTCTTGCCCACTCCCAAGATGGACTATGGGATTTGCAGTGTGCATAGAACATTACATATAGACAGGGTTTGTGGAATATGTTTGTCTATTCTGAGGAGTGTAAAGCTCTCTTTGAACTGGGCCCTGCTGACTGCCCCCCTTTTTCCTGCCTCTCCCCAAATCCCCCCCCCTCCTTATATTTTTTCTTGCTTCCCTCTTCCAAGTTCCTTTCCTTTTACTCGTTTTGCTTTGCTATCTGTTTTAATTCAATATTACACAAAAAATGGCTGTAAGGCAGCCCCATTATTCCCCCCCAGGGACTTACAGTTCCATGTTTCGTGGACAGAGTTCCGGTGGCTCGGGATATGCACGCTGACCATTTCTAGGGATATCATTGCCTATGGGGCTCAATTGATTTTCTTTTTCTAAAGCTTTGTTCTCAGGTTTCGTGGCCCTGATGTGGATGTTCTGTTTGGTTTTTTGTGGATGTTCTATTTTGTCTTTTGCCATGTATATCCTGATGTTGCCTTTGTATCTGGAAACATTTCTGTTAACTGTTATGGTTGCTGCCTTGTGTCAATAAACGTGGATTGGTAAAAGAATATTACATATAGGCAGCACAGTGGCTAAATGGTTAGCACTTCTGCCTGGCAGTACTAGGGTCGTTGATTCGAATCCCAACCACGGCACCACCTGCCTGGAGTTTGCATGTTCTCCCTGTGCCTGCATGGGTTTCCTCCCACACTCCAAAGACATGCTGGTAGGTTAATTGGATCCTGTATAAATTGTCCCTAGTATGTGTATGTATGTATGAATATCAGTTAGGGACCTTAGATTGTACACCCCTTGAGGGTTAGGGACTGATGTGAATGTACATATATATGTAAAGCGCTGTGTAAATTGACAGTGCTATATAAGTACCTGAAATAAATAAATATGTTCAACTAATGTACACTGCTTGTACCAAACAAATGAAAGTGAGATGGAAAAGGAGTGCTTGCGCAGGAGGTAACAAGGAGGCAGAAAAACACTGTAATAAACAATTTCCTCAAAATCGAATAAAGGATCATTACATTGTGAATGGATATAGATTAGGTCTGCAGAATGAGGATTTGGTTTAGTGGCAATGCTAAAGGATGTCCCCCTATCCATTTCACCAGCAGGGAGGTTGTCACACAGGCTGAGCTCATTGCATCCTGGGTAATGGCTGTTCCTAGGGAAAAGTCAGGTATCTCACATGAAAGTCACCAGTCATTCCTTCCTCAGATTGCAGCAGAAGCTGTCATTGTGCTGTGGGTGAGGCAGAGCCATGCATCCCTAGGAAGGACACAGACTGCTATACCAAGGGGGTGATGACACAGTATTGTGTGCTCATGAGGTAAATCATTTCCTATGAAGACAGAAGGAAATTGCTGACATACAAGAGTCAGTACACAGACTGTACAAGCGCCCTCCTATAGGAATCACTGGACACAACTTCCCTTCCCATGGAGGCTGACACTAGGCTGCCCTGTACACAGCACTAGAAGACACCGGAACTATGGAGAGGCCCCCTGTGCTCCAACCAGGCGGTGTATACAGGTATGCCGGGGGAAGGGGTGGGGGTCAGTACCTGCTTATGCTCTGGCAGCCCCAGGCCTCCGCTCTGCCACGGTCACGTGCCACCGACGGGGGCGGGCTCAGGACACACATGATGCGTCGCCCTTACTCTAAACTCACCACGTGACATGTCAGCGAGGCCGCTACCGCCATGTTTTGTTTGGGCTACAGAATACTAGACGAAGGCAACACACCTGGAAACCCACCCGTTGCTTCTTTTACGGAACAGTCTGTTTGTATATGTATATACAATGAAATGGTAGCGTTTTAAAACCCACCAGGACTTCTAACATACCGACACACTACGGCCCAGCAGCTGAGCTGTCACTTCCGGCCGAGGCGCGGGGCATTGTGGGAGGTGGTGGTAATGGCTCAGGTTGGTGGTAGATCAGTGGCCATGGGGCAGGACTGTGATCTCTTCCTGCACCCAGAGCTGCTCTCCAAGGATTTCCTGCTGCTGTCTCTAGGGCAGGTGAGGCTGTTCTGTCATATACTTAATTATTGTTATATATTCCTCATTAACAACCCAATTCCTTTGTCCCCCTTTCCTCCCTGATGTATAGATCTAGAGAACTAATGACATTTAATGAAATATACTGCCAGAACTGCAGTGCAGCACCAACATATTCATGCATCCACTCAGTTATTGTATTTCTTATAATGAAAAGCCAGGATGAGTGTTCATACATCCACCTACCGTGTACAGCATGCCATGCAAGTGAATGGCTGCACGCAGCTGCGCTCTTACAAACACTGATGCTACTTTGCATTGCCATGTACCCAAGCATGCATAGCTGACAAATGTTTTTGGACACGGATTGTTCAGATAGATTAGGTAGGTGCTCCTATTACATAGTTCTGATAAATCTAAACTTGATTGTACAAAGATTGTGTGATCAGATTGTAACCTGCATGGTGACCCTAAAGCCTGGTACACACAATGAGAATATCGGATGAATGATCCACAGGTTTTTTTTTTTTTTTTTTGCATGCTGGTCTCGTATTGAAAATAAAGTGGTTCCGAAAATCCTCACAGGACAGAATATAACGTCGAAAGTGATGTAATGTATTCTGTCGTTTCTGAGCATGCATGGTCTTGGTCGCTTGATTTAGTACAGAAAAATACTATATTGCTTAAATGAAAATTGTTCATTCTGGTATCACACGAGATACATTTTCATGATTGTCCCTTCGGATAATTTTACATGAACTGTCATGATCAGCTCTCAAAAGCTCTATTTTTTTTTGTCCGGTATACCTAAAACACCTATGTGTTTTCTGTTGTGTTTTGCAGAAACGCACAGCAGTCCATTTTACATGATTTCCTATGGAGCAGGTTCACATCTCTGCATTTTCACCCGGTGCGGTTTTTGGAAAGCGTCAGGCACTGTATTAAAAGCAATACGTTGCTTTTTTGGTTCTGTAGTCTTCAATGGAGACACTGCAGAAAAGCATGTAGTGTGTTTTTGATGCGTTTTGAGTTTTAATCTGCCTGACAACAAGTTGGGGAAAAAAACACGAAACGCGTCAAAAACACGTTCAATAAGCACCGTAGGACCAGATCAAACGCAAACTGCATAGCTGTGAAGCTAGCTTAAAGGCTTCTTTCTGGCAACTTGACCATGCAGCTCATTTTTGTTAAAGTAATATTGTGCTCCTGGAAACAACCACACCATCTTTTTTCCAGAGCAGCCTGTCGTTCGCCTGAGGTTACCAGTGGGTTTTTCTTTGTATCCTGAATAAATCTTCTGGTAGTTGTGGCTGTAATCTTTCTTGTTTTACCTGGCCTTTGGTTGGTATCAAGAGATTCCTGGTATCAAAAGATTCCTGAATTTTCCATTTCTTGATAAGTGAGTGAACAGTACTGACTGACATATTCAAGGCTTTGGATATCTTTGTATATCCTTTTTCCATCTTTTAAAGTTGTTACGCAGGTCTTTTGACAGTTCTTTTCTGATCCCCATGGCTCAGTATCTACCCTGCTCAGTGCATCCATGTGAGAGCTCATTGACTAGTTATACACCTTCAGGGTGTGGACATTTATTTATATATATATAAATTTATGACACGCACACATTTTTTTTTTTTTTTTTTTTTTTTTTTTTTAAGCAGAGTCTCTTGAGACTAAATCAGTGGGGTTGCTTTTTTATGTATCAGTATTTGGGCAGCAGTTTTTCAAATGCAATTTTTTGGGGAGAAAAAATACACTTTTTATTTTAATGCAAAAAACACAATGCTAAACCCAATTTTGTAATAAAAGATGGTATGAATAAATAGATACATGTCACATTTTAAAATTGCACATGCTCGTGCAGCAGCAACAAACAGTGTAAATTTTGCTATCCATAGGCAACACTTTAAAAGCCTTTACAAGTTACCATGTTAGATTTACAGAGGAGGAATGGTGCTAGAATTACTGCCCATGATCTGACATTTTCGGTGATGCATCACATGTGTAGGCCGATTGCTGTTTGCATGCATGCAGGACTGACGCATGCGTTTTCGTGCGGGGACAGGGATGCTTTTAAAAAAAAATGTTTTTTAATTATTATTTTAACACAGTCGCTTTTATTTTTGTATGTAAACATTCTCAATAGGCAGCGACAGGTGCGCTTTATCAATAAGATCTAGACAAGATCGGTGTGATCAAATGCGTTCCATTTTTAAAAATTTTACCATTTACATTCGGGGAACCTGGAATGGATGTATGCTCATCTCTTCTTGCTTCCAATATCATAGAGGCAGACAGAGTGGCTCCCGACTTTGTCCGCTTTTATGATCAGCCGGCGGTAGCGCCAGATGGTCAATTGTGTGTCCTGGTACAACGCGATGTCCCTTCCGTTGCTTGTAAAAGCGATCCAGTGGCTATTTTAACTCTTGGATCTCTTTTACAAGAGAGCCGACTGTCAGCTCTAATTCTTGCTGCTTGTCCACAACAGGGCTAAATATAAAGAAGACCCTCTTGCCTGGCGCCCGGAGCTGCATGTCCCAGGCATTGGGCTATAGGAATTGCACATCCCTGACCTTGTTACGCAGTTCTTTTCTGCTTCCACATGGCTCAGTATCTAGTCTGCACAGTGCATCCACATGGGAGCTAACAAACTCACTGACTATTTATACACATACACTAATTGCAATCTAAAAACTCACAGATGTGGGAAATTAACCTTTTAATTGCCATGTTATTCTGTGTCATCTTGTGTGTCTGTACAAAGACCAAGCATTCTAGGACGTGTAAACGTTTGATCACGGCCATTTCGGTGATTTCTGTTATGATTTAAAAAGAAGCCAAACAACCATATGATAATAAATGGTTTTATATGTTTGCTATCCTTTAACGACTTTCCATTTGGCCGTTATATAAACGGCCGGGTGGTGACAGTGCAGGGTCGGGTGGCCGTTTATAAACGGCCTCCCTGCTTGTGCGTGCTCCCTGGGAGCACGCAGCACCGCAATCCGGTGCCTGCTGTGTCCTCCGGACACAGTGGAACACCGATCGTTGGACGGGACCTCTCTGCAAGGTCCTGATCACCGATTGGCCAGTCAGTGATCACATGCAGAGTAGTAAGCAAGATGTCACTTGTGACATCATTGCTTACTACGTGTGAAATCTGTGAATGATCACAGAGTTCACATGGTACAAGGCCATTCACAACAGCCTTGTACCATGTGACAAGCTGTGACCAATCACAGCTCACTCAGTAGTTCTCAATGGCTGCAGGAATGCAGACAGAGAAGGAGAAATGATTGCTTTTACATCCTATATGGGTGTAAAAGCAATCCGTGTAAAAAAAAAAAAAAAATCACTATGGTGACACTGTACTGCTGGGGTGACAGTATGTAAAAAAAAAAAAAAAAAAAATGTTTACAAATTATAATTTTTGGTTATAAACTAATTTTTTTTTTTTTTTTGTTTTTTTACTAAAAAGATAACGTAATAAAAACACTTTTTTTTTCAAAATTTTTGGACATTTTCATTTACATAGCAAAAAAAAAAAAACCCCAGTGGTGAAGAAATACCACCAAAATAAAGCTTTATCTGTCTCAAAAAAATGGTAAAAAATTCATATGGGTACAGTGTTGCATGACCGCGCAATTGTCATTCAAAGTGTGATAGCACTGAAAGCTGAAAATTGGCCTGGACAGGAAGGGGGTAAAAGTGTCCGGACATGAAGTGGTTAAATAAGACAGTTTTTTTGATCTGTCATATTTTCAATATCCATGCCAAAATGTAATTATTTCTGCAGGGTATTCAAACTTTTGAGCACAACTGCATCTGCATTAATTTTTCCATGCAATTATTCTGAATGCAGGTTTAGGGCATTTTGAATGCCCACTGAGCACTGCTTTAAAAGATGAATCTAAATGCCACAATGTGCACAGATACTTTGGCTGATATGGAGCTGCATACAAAGTAAAGAGATGCTTCCAAAAGCAGTGGTTTTTCTGCCCATGTACATGAGGCCTAAATTTGAAGTAACCACCAGGGTGCCCCCAAGCTGATACAAGAAACGAAAGGTGAACAAATTGTGAGCTCTTAGGGCTTGTTTACACATACATTATTCTGTGAAAGTACAACTAAAGGCAAATTTTTTTTTTTTTTTTTTTTAAATAAAGTGAAGAGAGATTAGAATATCTGTGCTCCTGTTAGGGAGGTTTACTCTCTCTGTTTGTCCTGTTTAACATTATCAACGAAAGTGAACGCAAAGGAGAACAGGAATAGTGGAGATGTCCTCCAATGGGGACACTAGTTCTGGGGACAACCAGGGATTCTCACTTTAGGGGGATTTTCTCTTACTTCCTGTTTTGGCTATGGGACAGGAAATGAAGGCAAATCTCCCCAATGGAACACAGATGGCAAAAATAAACCTTACAGGGGTTATAACCCTCCCTTGTTTTTCACAGAGCGGTGCAGGTGTTGCACACAGTCATTCAGAAGGTGATACTGCCACCTCCTGAATTTTTTTAATTGCTTTTTTAAATGGGAATACCATAACTTCAATCCTAGTGTTTGATTCGCAGTTGTGGCATGGCCCCAACCACTTGAATATGTTGTGTTCAGCAGTGGTACTGCGCACTGTATGGGACTAGGGAGATCATTTTTGTAGTGAAGCAAAGCATTGCCACTGTGGCATGTGTACACCCCGTCTGACTGTATTTGAGACTTAAGGGAGGTAAAAATGCACCCCAACAAAAATATTTTTACTGACCCCCAACTGCAAGTGTAAACTAGCTTTACTGAGGTGGTGTTGTAAAAAAAAACCCAACCATTAGTACAAGTTGCTGATATGTTATCAATATAGTGGTTGAAAAGGCTTTGAGTCTTGGAGCTGGCATCATGTGTAGAGGCTCCTCCTAATTCCAAGGAACTGTAAGATGTTTAAAATAACATATGTTCTGCCTGGCAGCACTAGGGTCGTCGGTTTGAATCCCAACCATGGCACCACCTGCCTAGAGTTTGCATGTTCTGCCTGTGCCTGCGTGGGTTTCCACTCCAAAGGCATGCTGGTAGGTTAATTGGCTCATATCTAAATTGAGGGTTAGGGACTGAATGTACTCTATCTATCTATTCATCTATCTTTCAAAACATATGCAAGTTATAGTTCTATAATGGATATGGGCTGAAAGTGCACTCTCAGGTTTAATTTGAGGGTACGTACATTCAAATTGGAGGAAGGGTTTAGGAATTACAGCTCTTAAGAGTAGCCCCCGCCCTTTTTCAAGGGACCAAAAGTAATTGGACAATTGAATCAAAAGCTGTTTCATGGCCAGGTGTGGGCTACTCCTTTTATTTCTTCATTACTTAAGCAGGTCTGGAGTTGATTCTAAGTGTGGTATTTGGAATCTATTGCTGTGAATGTATATCATGTGTTTAAAGGAACTGTCCATGCAAGTGAAGCAAGCCATTGTGAGGTTTCAAAATTGAAACAAATCCATCAGAGAGCAGCAACATTAGGAGTGGCCAAATCAACAGCTTGGTACATTCTGAGGAAAGAACGCACGAGTGAGCTCAGCAATATAAAAATGCATGGATGTCCACAGAAGACAACAGTGTTGGATGATCGCAGGATCCTCTCTATGGTAAAGAAAAACCCATTCACAGCATCCAGACAAGTGAAGGACACTCTCCAGAAGACAGCTGCAGTTAGAGCCTGGCAAAGCATCAGAAAGGAGGAAACCCAGTCTCTGGTCATGTCCATGGGTTCCAGACTTCAGGCAGTCATTGCCAGTAAAGAATTCTCAACAAAATATTACCAATGAACATTTTATTTATGAATATATTAATTTGTCCAATTACTTTTGGTCCTTTGAATAAGGAGGGATGGCCACTCTTAAGAGCTGTAATTCCTAAACCCTTCCTCCAATTTGGATGTACATACCCTCAAATTAAACCTGAGAGTGTGCACTTTCAGCCCATATCCATTATATAACTATAGCTTTAATATGTTTTGGTAAATACCTGGAAAAATAAACCATAATTGTAAATATGCAGTGATTTTCTAGTAGTGAAAACTAGGGTATTTGACCAATATTGGTTGAGTAGTCTGAGAAAGGTAACAGTTTTATTGAATGACTATTCTTCGCTCTGTACACCTACATATACCATTTTCAAGGGTGCAGTATCTGAAAATGGAAAAATATGAAGATAGTTAATCTTTATGCTATTAGTTTGCCATCTTCTATGTAGCAACTCAGTACGGTAATGACAGCCATTAGTAAAGTGAGGTTATTTTACAGTAAAAGCGGGCAATTGAACTGCAGTTTTACTGCCCACCTATACTAAAAAAAAAATGCAGTGGCTCAGGGCTGTACCCATGTCACGAGCATGGCAAAAATTAAACGAAACATTGCGATCAGCAGGTGAAATCACTGCCAACATGACTCATTCAAGTGAATAGGACCATGCTGCAACTGCAAAGTCACTTTTTATTACTGATCACTACTGGTTCACATAATACGTTAGACATTTTCATTTTTGGTCATCATTGGCGCACAGATTATTTTTGGGACACTGTAATACTGCATGAAAGTGAATAATATTCACATATTTTCTATTTGATTTTTATAATGCGTTGGACAATTTCATTGCTGGTCATCATTGATACATAGATTAATTTTGGGACACTATAATATTGCATGAAAGTGAATAACATTCACACATTTGTCATTTTATATTAGCGCTGCACCTTTATTTATGTGTAGGTACAATTTATAGAGGAGGATTGGTTTCATCTCTGTGTATCATCTGATGCTAGTTACTTCCCTGTTATATGTAAGGGTTTACAACCACTTTAAACCTTTCCTTTTAAATGTTTTTGCTCTTATCTGTCGTGGGTTCCCTGACGCTTATTGCCTTTTTGAGTAGGGCGGGTGGATTATTTGTGGAATATTTTTGTTATGACATACGTATAGTATATGGAGCCTGTGGCCTTTGAACCGGGGCATAGTTCACCTCACTACCTTCTTTTCTCATTGACTGACTAAATTCTTTCTGTTTTTCAACTGCTGTTAGGCAAATCTGATATGTTGGGAATCGGCCAAGTTGAGAAAATGTGGCGATTTTGTTGTATGCCATTGTTTCATTTGCTTGTTCCTAACACTCTACCATTACTGAGGGTCTCTGGGTAACCCCCTTATCTTCCATCAGTAACGTCTGATCCTCCTCTTTTTAATTAACAATTTTGCATTGGGAACATTTCATCTGATCTCTACAATATTGGGCAGATCTATCTGCAAGGATCTTGTGGAAGTTTTGCTTACTTCAAGGCCTGACAAATTTGCTTTGAATCTAGGAGCCAGCTAAAAAAGTTAGCCAGTTTTGCCCCAAATCCCCCTTCTAGTGGTAATCCTTCTTCTCCCCCAATTCCCCCCTCTTAACAAAAATCCCCCTCTAGTGTAAATCCCCCCTCTTAGCAAAATTTCTCTCCTCCCCAAATCCCCACTTCTAGTGTAAATCCCCCCTCTTGGCACAAATCCTCCCCCCCAAATCCCTACTTCTTCTAGTGTAAATCTCCCCTCCTAGTACAAATCCTCCCCTCCCCAAATCATTCCTCTTAGCACAACCCCCTCCCACAACTTTCCCTTCCTAGGACAAATCCTCCCTCCTCTTAGCACAACCCCCTCCAAATTACCCTTTCCAGCACCCCCCCTCCAATTCACCCCTACTAGCACAAATCTTCCCATACACACCCACCCACACCCATTCCCCCTTATAGCACAAATTCCCCCCTCCAATATTACATGCGGGAACTACAGGAGTACAGAGGAGGTGCTGGCTCTCTGTGCTGTCCCCCCTCCTTCATAACAGTACTCCAGAATAAACACGATCACTCTTACATTGGACAGTACATGGTTTGATTACCCGCCCCCTCATCTCCTCCAATGATGGCTTATCTCCCAGAAATTTAGAATGAATTGATGATAATGTTGATGGTTTACGGTGTTTGTCTCATCCTAACATTATACAGTATTTACAGCGTATATGAATCTATTCCCATCAGTATTTTTTCCATAACAACCCTATGATTTTGTAATAATTCTTACTACTACAAAAATGAATTTTCTTAAACTGAAATGAAAAGATTTGTCACCCATGATAAAAAATGATAGTCCAGGAAACTGCACAAAGTATTTTCAGTACTTGTAATACACTCCTATAGGTAGGCATTGTTTGAATTTTGAAGCCGCACTGCATCATCATCATTGTAATAGTAATTCTGCCACTAAACTACAGCCTTTTTTTCTTTTTTTTTATTAACACATCTTTTACTACAGCCAGATGCCTAAATGTTTATTTAATGGAGCTTAGAAACATTACGTTCTAAATTGTGTATTTTGTTGATACAGAAAAATATTGTAGTGGAAGATTCTGAGCGTGATAAGGAGAAGTTAACTGAAATCTTTGTCCAGCATGCCATGCCCCTTCCTCAAAGAGCTTTGCCGAAGAGTCGGTGGGGTAAAATGATGGAAAGTAAGAGAGGAGAGGAAAAGCACACAGAACCACAGAAAAGGTATGGTGTCTTATACTTTACTGGGGCACAATTAAGTCTCAAGTTAAATATTCATACCCACACGTCTCGTGAAAAGTTCTAGCTGTTCTCTTCACTTCATGTCTCTTCTGCAATAAAATAAACCTACCTGCCTGTGCGAAGTCTACATTCCAGCACGGCGCCTGTTTGCCAGGATGACTGCACTAGCCAGCTTCATACCGCAGCCCAGCACCTGGAAGAAGCTGGGTCGGGGTTTCCAGCATCAACAAGGGATGACAAACTGCTAAAGGAGAGGTAAGTATTGCGGAGTTTAGCTCTGCTTTAGCTTTTAGGTAACGTTACATATGCAGCCCTTGTTTTGGAGCCCAGTCTGCATTTTGGCCAGGTTCACAGTGGTGCACTGTGGTTTTGGTGCAGTTCGACTTATGCATGTTTTAAACACTGTTTTTGATGTGCTTCCATTGACTTCTATTATATACTGTGTTTTCACAAAAGTGCAATAAAGTCCTGCATGCTGCAGCTTTGATGCACTTTCCAAAAATGTACGGTCTAATATAAGTCAATGGAAGCACATCTAAAACCATGAGTAAAGACAAGGATATAATCACTCTGAACCCAGCCTTTGTGATTGGAGCTTGAAAGGCGCTGCACATGTTTTTCACTGAATGTTTTGGAGGAAGCATCTGTATTAAGCTGGTCATAGACGGCTCAAATTGGAGCTGTGACTTGCCCTGCAAGCACACGCAATTTTTAAAATAGTGACAGAGTCTCCTTAACCAGTTGCTGACCGCAGATAGCCGAATGACAGCTACACTGCGGCCAGCCAGTTCTGGGAGGGTGTCATATGACGTCCTCCCAGAACGCGCTTTCCTGCGCACCCCCTGGGCCGTGCACCCGGCGATCTCCTACGGACACAGCTGATCATGTGATATGGTAAAAGGCCAATCACAGCTGCTTTTTACTACGTGATCAGCCGTGTCCAATGACACGCTGATCACAGGGAAATGCAATTGCCGGTTCTCGGCTGCACTTCCTATTACTGTCAGAACGCTGTCAGAGCAGGGATCTGCACCGATCATCAGGGCACTGATGATCCGTGCCCTGATGATTGGTGCCCAGCAGTGCCATCCACCAGTTCCACCCACCTGTGCCCATCAGTGCCACCCACCTGTGCCCATCAGTGCCACCCATCAGTGCCACCCACCCTGCCCTCAGCCCCCACCTCTCAGTGCCACCCACCAGTGCAGCCCAGCAGTGCTGCCAGTCAGTGCGCAGCAGTGCCGCCTATCAGTACCCATCATCAGTTCCGCCTATCAATGCCGCTTCATTAGTGCTGCCGATCAGTGCAGCCTCATCAACGCACATCAGTAAAGGAGAAAAATTACCTGTTTGCAAAATTTTATAATAGAAACAAAGAAACCTTTTTTTTTTTTTTTTTGTTTACAGCGCAAAAAATAAAACCCCCAGCGGCAAGTAAATACCAGCAAAAGGAAGCTCTATTTGTGAGAAAAAAAAATGATAAAAATTTCATATGGGTACAATGTTGCATGACCACGCAATTGTCATTCAAAGTGCGACAGCGCTGAAAGCTAAAAATTTGGCCTGGTAAGGAAGGGGGTATAAGTGCCCGGTAGGCAAGTGGTTAAAGTGTTACTAAACCCAGGGCCCTGCATTCACTATATCTGGTCTCCTACAGCACACAGAACATAGAAGTGCAATTCTTTTAGTAAATATAAACTGCTAAATACCTTTTCTCATCAGCAGTTAGAGCAGTCTTGTGACTTCAGCAGAGCTCTGGTTAAAGTTTGTAGGTGGAATTTTCTTATTGCTCTAGGATGTAAAAGTCCTGACCCTCTGTCTGGACAGTGCTGATAGGCCCTGTGCTGATCACATGCACTCTCCCAAGAAAAAAAAAAACCCGCCCCAGCAATACACACCAAACTGAGCATGTTCATGTGTCTACGCATTCAGTCTGTATCAGGTCATTTCAACAAGAGGAGGGGCAGAGAAGAAAGGATCTAACAGCTTTTTTACAGAATGCAGAGGATTAACCCATTAGGTTCCACAGTGAGTATAACAAGCATGCTTTACTGCATATACAGACTGATTTTACTGTTGTGGGTTTTTGTAACACTTTAAGGGAAGCCATATACGCTTTGATTTCTCAAATAAATACATTACTCCATCAATGCTAAGCAGGGTGGGTTGAGGAGTCTTCCCTGCCCAATGACGCCATTGTCCAGGTACCCAAAGAGTGACTGCATCTCATTCAATTGTAGTTTGGAGACAGGACTCTTGACAATTGACCTTTTTAAGTTTAAGCCCAGGACCAAATGGAAATTAACTCTCAAAGCCACATTCACCCGAATGCATGTTTCTGTGTACGTAAGTTTGTTTTGTTTGTTTTTTTTTTTTTTTGTTTTAGACTTATGGACAACTACGGTATGTCCTTTACACAAAAGCCTGGCAACCTAAAAATCGCCCTCTATACTGTGGTTTTGGTCTGGGGGTATTTGTTTCAGTCTGAGTAACATCAAAGTTACACAGGAAAAACAAATACCCCAAAGGCCTAATTTTTCAGCGAATCAATACCACTATATGGAGTGATATTTTTAGGTTGGCAGGGCACAGTGGCTTCTCTGCGAATGACAGAGTTGTCCATAAAAGCTTAACAAAATGTAGATGCATTGAACATGTAAAAAGGGTTTGGGCACTGATTCCCATTATGTCTTGGACTTTAGGTTCAGCTGACACCCGCTGCCATTTGGTTATGGACAGCTCAATAGACAGGGTGGATCTGAGGTATAACAGTACATGCATTGGGGCTGACCTGAAGTCTGTCAGCGCAGGCTTTGTGGCTGACCTGGGATCTGACGACGCACGCGTTGGGGCTGACCTGAGATCTGGCGGCGCACGCGTTGGGGCTGACCTGAGGTCTGGCGGCGCACGCGTTGGGGCTGACCTGAGGTCTGGCGGCGCACGCGTTGGGGCTGACCTGAGGTCTGGCGGCGCACGCGTTGGGGCTGACCTGAGGTCTGGCGGCGCACGCGTTGGGGCTGACCTGAGGTCTGGCGGCGCACGCGTTGGGGCTGACCTGAGGTCTGGCGGCGCACGCGTTGGGGCTGACCTGAGGTCTGGCGGCGACGCGTTGGGGCTGACCTGAGGTCTGGCGGCGCACGCGTTGGGGCTGCCCTGAGGTGTAAAATTGGGGCTGTTTTCTATAATAAATGATGAGTTTTACTTTTCTTTAGCTGTACAACTATGAGTGCAAAAGTTGAAAACAAACTTAAGCGTATGATGCTCTGTTGTTGACTAGCATGCCAATTATAAAATGCCAGAAAAAATAAAGACAGAATAATTAAAGAAAAAAAAAATGGTGATGAAAAGATTCTTTTTGAGCTCTAGTTATTCCTAGAGTAAAAAAAAAAAAAAAACAAAATCGGTTACATGCAAGACTTTGAGACCTTGTCATCAGACTATTAATTTCAACAACAATCTTCAAAAATATTATACTGTATGTATATTTAATGCATTTTCTGCATTTTATTTACCCGTAAAAGGTTTTCCTTCCTTCCTTCTCCGCTGTCCCTGCAGACTCAGAGCTGTCATTCATGTGACACTCTATAAGCACTATAGCAGGGATCAGCAACCCTTTCCACATTCATTGACATATTATTTTTTTTTTTAGTTGTAATGCGGAGAGTGGAAGAAAACGACCTCTCATAGTGTTTGATGGAAGCTCTACTAATACTAGCATAAAGGTTGAAAAAGACAGAAAATGGAGACACAGCTCAGAGACTTAACCCCCTGCATATGGAAAAAGCAAACAGTACTATCCGAACAGAACAGCCAACCAGCCCAGTGTCCAAACTTTGTTCTCCTTCTGCCAAAGTAGTCAAAACTAGTAACAATGGACAGCAGGCCAGAAGCCCAGGAACCAATGAATCAACAGGAAAAGTAAAAACACAAACACCTCCAAGTGCAAGTGCTGTAAAAATAAAAAGAGCTGCTCCAAAGGAGGACTCTGATGTGACAGTAAGTACCGGAGTCCTTTGCTTAACAGCATCTAGAGGAAAAATTGTTGTTTTATAGCAAGGAGATTTTGGTTGCTATAGGCAAACGTTACTGTTTTATTTTCAGACACATTTTTTTGCTCTGGCAACTAAAATTTGTATTCTAATATGTAAGTCTTTTGTCTTGCCCTGCCGCCCTATGGTAGAACTACTGTTGCAGGGCTGCGCAAAATCGTGTGTGTGTGAGATTTGCATTTCCTGGAAGGGGGCATGCGTGCAGACCTACCCACTCCGCCATTGGTGGCTAGGGATGTCAATCACTGGGTCCCGGCCGGAGATTCCCCGCCAGTGATCATCGGGCAAAGCTAACCGGAGAGACCTTTGTGTAAACTTAGGTGTCTCTCCTGCCAGCAAGGACATGCTCCTGTGTATTTCTCTGCACAGCAGAGAAAAACAGAGCAGCATTTCTCCCAAGTAAAACACACACTGCACATGATGTAAAACCGCACAGTTAACCCTTTTGATTGCTTCACAGTCGGCTGCCCACTGCACATGCACAAGCCGTGCTGCGCTTTGTGAATGGTTCCACAGCCTCCTGGGACCTGAGACATGTCCCAAAAGACTGCGGGGGGGGGGGGGGGGGGGGGGGGGTTTATGTAAAAACCAGGTACCTGGCTTAGGAAAGTTAGATTGAAGTCAGAAGTCTTGATCTGCTTTATTTTCAGGATTAGTGTACTCAAAGTAAAAGGGTTAGAATCTTATCCGGACAACTAGGATATGTTAAATAAGAAGACAGAAATTAAGCATTCCTTTAAAATGCTAAGTTCACTTTTTTTTCCTTTATGAAATCAAGGTCCCCTATGCACCAATATGCCATTAATGTACCTTCGGTGCAAAAATATACAAGCTATCTTTGAATGCTTTTTCGCTTCCTTGAATGTAGACAGAGGAGCCAGTATGACCGGGAAGCAGATTATCAGCTGATCTCATTAGCATATTCTGCACTGATCTCATTAGTACACACCCTTCACCTATGAACGTTTTTTTTCACCGCATCCCTGGGATCTCTCTCCACATGCATTTACCTGGCTACCCCAGCATCTCTACAGACAGGCTCAGGCCGCATGCTAAACTCCCTGGGCCGCATACAGCCCATGGAACACACCTGATGTAGTGCAATGGCCTGCTTGATTGGATACAGAGTGATTGCATAGATCGTGTGACCTCCTAGTTTATAGTTTTGGTAAATCTAAAGGAGATTGTGCAGAGCTTATACAATCAGGTTGTATAGTGTATGGTCCCTTTTAACACCTAAAATGACCTAGTTGTGCTTTCAGTGTCATTATTGTTAACAGCACACCAAACACAGAAACAAGCACACATTTTGCCACATGAAAAAACGGGTGACAAATGCAGCAAAGTGTGCAGTAAAAAATGTGCAACACGTACCACGCTAAAATGTCCCATGAGCTACTTTGCCACGTGTACTGCAGTCCATTGAAATCAATGGGCTGCCCTATGTGTGTCACTGGGGAAAACGAGCCAAAAAACATGCACTCCCTCTACTCTCGGTGTGAATCGGACTGTAAAGTGTAATTGATGCGGTTACACAGAACAATGAGGCTCCATTCACGTGTTTTTGAACACATGGCAAATGGCACCGAAAATGGGCGCTCTGCCATGCGTTTTAGAAACGCGCTGCAAATATGCATTTTGTTGTCATTACATGTTAGTCACCCCAAGTGTGGCAAACACACCAAAAACTGCAGTAATGCACTGTGCTCCACTCCAAAAAAAAGTTCTGGAGCTTTCAAGTAAGTGATGGCTTCTGGGAGATGACCTACAGGAAGTGAGTGCTGAGATCTCATCTACAGGAAATGATGGAATCTGAAAATCGGTTAAAACTTTCACATAAACTGACAAAAAATTAAACGTCCTGTGGATGAGGTAAGTGAGAGAACAGCACATGGGATGGGTGGGCCAGAAATGGCACTGGAAACCGCTTCTATTTATTATGAATTGTGAAATTCTGCCCGAAAAGGTGAACTTCTCCTTTAAAGCTATGATACACTGCATTCAGACTCAGAAGCAAGTCAAAAGACAGATTTTAAATAATTCTGATAAGCTTAAACTGTGCATGTAGCCAAAAATGTTTTATTTAGTTGTGGATAAAGTAGGTATCCGTTACAATCAATGGCTATTTTTTTTGCCCTCCCTGTTTTTTTCTGTTTGTTTGTTTTTTTTTTTTTTTTTTGTAGGGAGAATCTCCTTCACTGCCTATTCTGGTGGTGCAGCAGGATGTGAGAGTCTCTCCAAAGTGAGGGAAATTCCCTTTAGACAGATGCAACCTGAAGAGGGGTCCCCATTGGAAGATTTTCTCTCCCCTTTTATTCTGGTGGCAATTATAACATTTTGTTACCAGGACAAATAGGGAGGATGACTCCACCCAGTGGGGCACAGACACCAATAAAAACTTGCCAGGAGTTCTAACCCTTCCCCATTCTATCCAGACTTTAAAACAAATGACCTGCTGGTGGGCATTCATATTGTTTGGCATGGAACAGTAAAATAATTGTTCAATTTTCTTTCTTCCAGAGCGATGTAAAACCTTCAGAAGCAAAGAAGAAGATTACACATGTTACATGGCCTTGATTTTTTACTTGATGAAGAGTGTGTCTTCTTTGAAAACTACTTTGGGAAGGAGCACAATGGGATGTTTAGATCTCATCCCTCTGCTTGGAACCTCACAGAACTGTTGTCACACAGTACAAAATTCAGACTTTTTGATCGTGGATCAGAGAAAGCGGTTTGTTGACACAGAGACATTACAAGACCAGGAACGTGCATCTTCACATAGATCACATCTTCACGTATTATTTCTTTACATTTCAGAGCCGTTAGGTAGTTTTTGTGTGTGACTGTTCCTGGTGTTTGAGTGTTCTGGAAATCCGTACAGAGTAGACATACTTTGCGTGTTGGAATTCATTATTTTTATATTCTAAAGGGTTTTGGATTGCTGTGTCATGTGTACTACTTCCATTACTTTGGGTTCTTCCAGGATTATGATGATTTAGAGGGGGTATTATGCCATATTCTCGTAGACTTACCTGCAAATCTCATTGCCATTGGATAACACTGTCTTCAAATGCAAACCTTCTTTCTTTCTACTCAGCAGTGTCTTTTGATGCATCACCTAGCTTTGGAGCATTACCATAATTTTCCATTTGGAGAAACCCTTGGGATTCTGTCGAGGAGAGATGGTTATTTAACAACTTTTTAAATTATGCATTGATTGAAGAATTGACTTTTAAATGTCTTACAGGCTGAACTCGCCAATTACAGTAAATGCTTCAAATTGAAGTTGGCTTTGATGGGTACTCGCAGAAGGTGGATTGAGTTGATTAAAGCAAATGTTGCATAGCAGATTTTAATCAATGACTTGAGAGGTTACTAGTAAACTTACATTTTATCAAGTTAGGGTGGATTCATTTTTTTTTTTTCGGCTACCTCTAGATGTTATTGGGGTGGTGGGATAATGGTATATACAGTTGTGTTCAAAAGTATGCATAGCCTGGCAGAAATTGTGAAATTTTGGCATTGATATTAAAAATACGAGTGATCATGCCAAAAACTGTCTATTTAAGGATCGCGATCAAAGGAAGCCGTTTATTAACCACATAGTTGTTTTGGCTCCTTTTCAAATCATAATAAGAGAAATCGCCCAAATGGCCCTGATAAAAAATTTACATACCCTGGAATGTTTGGCCATGGTACAGATACACAAGGTGACACACACAGGTTAAAATCACGAATAAAAGTTAATTTCCCACATCTGTGGCTTTTTAAACTGCAGTTAGCAACAACTGCTAGAAGAATTGTTTTGGATACAAAGAAAAACCCACAGGTAACCACAAGAAAAATATGGGCTGCTATGGAAAAAGACAGTGGTTTTAAGGAGCACAAAACAACAATACTTGAACATTGGCATTGGCACAGTAAAGGCTTCTTTCTGGCTATTGTCATATTGTGCTTCTTAAAATGAGCCACACCGTGGCTGATTTATGATTTCTGCCAGGTTGTACACACTTTTGAGCACAAATGTCCTGTTACAGATTAGTTTTATCAAGTCTTTAATGCTAGCTGTCTGTACAAATGCTTGAGGTTCTCATAGCTTGGGCTGTAGATGGTCCATCATTTGATCCAATTTTGGAGGCATGAGAAGTGACTGTGATATCCAGAAGCAATATGGGACTGCAGCAGGAGCACAAATTTGGCCAGTAGACGGATTGGCCCTTGGGAATTACTGATGTTCTCTTACAGTAGTATTGTTTGTTTTTTTTGAAGGAGAAGTACAGCCAAAGCTCTTTTGGCTGTACTTCTCCTGTGGATCACAGGAGTGCAGTTCATGCTGCGCTTCAGTGAGTGCAGGGGAGGCAGAGCAGACAGCGGTATCTGACAGTCAGTGCTCTCTGCTCAGATTGCTGAGTTCTGACACTGAGTTTTGCAGGGACAGATGCAGCATTGGACCGACGCTGCATCCACCCAGGTAAGTTATAATTGGGGGAAAAAAATCCAAACCCCTACTTCTCAGTCTGCTGATAGATCTGTCCAGCTGTATGCTCCAGAATCCAACATAAAACATACTATGGTATATGTTTTACTACATGTAAGAATGCTCTTCATTGTGGTTCAAAGAGGTCTTCCAGTATTTTATTAAAAAAAATGAATGAAACCTTCCCCTGCTGGATTTCTGGTTTGTGTGTTAAACTTTCCATAAACACAAGAGAAGAGGTGGTTGGTACAAGTACCAGGTCAGGCCGCGCTTTATGAGTACTTGGTTATGCTTTTTGCCAGAATGGGGGAACAATCAATGAGACAGGCTAGAAAACCGTCTTGATTGCTGTTGTGATGCTGGTACCATAGCCAAACAGGAAATTAAGGGAATTTGTTGGGGTCACCAGAACTAATGTCCCTATTGGAACATTTCCCCTCTATTACTTTTCTGGGACAACCCAAAATTCGGGATTTTCTTTTACTTTCAATAATAATGGTAAACAAGACAAACATAGTGGGTGAATTTCCCCAATGGGGGCACAGACAGCAATAAAAACTGACAGGTATTCTAATCCATCTTCCCTCTATCCAAAACTAAAAAAAAACCAAAGTTTTGACTTTAGTTACACTTTCAGTCTATGGGAAAGTATGGCTGGGTCAGAGGGGTCTTTTTGCTTGAAGTCAAGCTAACCCTTTCTTAAAAATTTCTATTTAGAAATGTTCCATGTTGTGATTTTGTTAATCACCCTTCCCCCCTTTGAGAGTGAGCAGCTGACACTTTGCACAGCTGTTGTTCTTCAGTCCCATTTGTCTCTATGGTCCCCACTAATGATTGTTGTTCCTGATGATGTGATCACTGTTACTGATTACATGCAGACTGTAGGTCTTACTGAGATAAAATTTAAAAGTATATAAATGACAAAACTTCACACAAGCACATGCAGCGGCCGGCAGTGGGCAGATAGGCTTTACCAGGATTCGCATTCTCCCCTCCAGGCATACGAACACATAAGCTGCACTCTGCTTTCTTTTTCGTTGAACCACAACCAGCTCTACAACGTGTCATTAATCATAGAAGTCAGAAATATCCCAATCAAAATTCATGCCATTCAGAATGTGTTTTTTTTATGTAAAAATTAATGACACATTGCAAGGAGACCTGTCCTTCACCTTTGAAACTTTCAATGAAGATCTTGAAACATGAGGTATAAAATAGAGATTTATACATTGGGAGGGGATTTACTAAAACTGGAGAGTGCAAAATCTGGTGCAGCTCCAGCTTCCAGGTTTTATTGTCAAAGCTTAATTAAACAAGCTGAAGTTAGAAGCTGATTGGCTACCATGCACAGCTGCACCAGATTCTGAGTGCTCCAGTTTTAACCGCATGCCGCCCAGCCACTGTACATATACGGCGGCAGGGCGGCACTCACAGGCAAAACCACGTTTTAAGACGTGTGTTTTGTAAACAAATAGGGGGCGCGCATGAGGCGCGCCGCCGCCCTATTTGTCCCGCGGTTCTCTGCCGCAGATGTGAGTCGCCGGGTCACAGCCGCTCCTTAGCGGCTATGTCCCGGCGATCGGCGGCAAACAGTGACAGAGAGCACAGCTGCAGTAGCTGTGCTGTCTGTCACTTCCCTGACAGCTCGAGGATGAGCTGATCGAGAGAGAAGAGTTTTTCTTTCTCGATCAGCCTTGTCCCGCCCAGCACACACCCCCGCCCCCTAGTAAAACACTCCCCTCACTCCTATAACCCTTCCCTGCTAAATAAAGTTAACCCCTTCCTCCCCATTGCCATTAGTACAGTGTCAGTTTTTTTTTTTTTTTTTTGCACTGATCACTGTATTAGTGTTTTTGGGGATATCAGTGACCCCAAGTCAGTACACCCCAATGTCAAAATGTCCGCCGCAGTCCCACCATAAGTCGCTGGTCACTGCCATAAGTCCCTGATCGCCGCCATAATTCGCTGATCGCCGCCATTATCAGTATTAAAAAACCCCTAAAAATCCCAGTATCTTTCCCGCCATTTGTAAACGCTATAACTTTCACGTAAACCAATTAATTTACACGTATTGTTTTTTTTTTTTAGCAAAGACATGTCGCAGAATGCATTTTGGCAGAAATTTATGACTAAATTTGATTTTTCCATTTTTTTTTTTTACTGGACATGTTTTATAGCAAAAAGTCCAAAATATTGTTTTTTTTTTTTCCTCAGAATTGTCAGCCTTTTTTTTTTTATAGCGCAAAAAAAAAAAAAAACGCACAGGCGATCAAATACCACCGAAAGAAAGCTCAATTTGTGGGGAAAAAAAGGATGTAAATTTCATTTATGTACCATATTGCATGACCGCGCAATTGTCCGTTAAACTATCGCAGCTCTGTATAGCAGAAAAATGGCGGAAATTGCAGTATCTATACCATAGTTTGTAGACGCTATAACTTCCACAAAAAGCAATCAATATACACTTATTGGGATTTTTTTTACCAAAAACATGTAGCAGAATACATTTTGGCCTAAATTTATAACCAACTTTGAGTTTACTATATATTTTTTATAGCTGAAAATAAAAAATATTGTTTTTCTTCAAAATTTTTGGCCTTTTTTTTGTTTATAGCGTGAAAAATAAAAAGCGCACAGATGATCAAATACCACCGAAAGAAAGCTCTATTTGTGTGAAAAAAAGACGTAAATTTCGTTTGGGTGCAGCATTGCATGACTGCACAATTATCAGTTGAATTAGTGCAGCGCCAAGTAGCAAAAAGAGGCCTGGTCATTAAGGGGGGTAAATCCTCAGGAGCTCAAGTGGTTAATATATTGTCCTCCTCAGGGTTACTTCACACCAGATGTACAGGGGTGCATTTTTAAACGCTTTTCCAATGCATGGCAGTCAAAAAAATAATGGTCCCCTATGAATGCAGTTTACACCAGCTAGCTCCATTGCATTTGCTTAGCACTGAAAAAAAAGTACAGAATGCACCGCCGTTTTTCAGCGCAACATGTTCAAATGCATGTAAACGACCTCAAACTAAATATATTTATATGGTGCATTTCTGAGATTACTGCTCAGCTGTACAGTAACAATAATATGATTTAACAGTTT